ATAAATTAAATCTAAAAAAAGATGTAAGACTCATGAGGTATGTATGAGAAAGCTGTCTCCCTACAGGACAGACCCTGCAGGAATAATTGATCCTCTCAGCCAAAAAACCCAGTCAAGATTCTGGACACCAGGATCTTGCATCATGGAGACGTAGGATACTACAGTCTTCTTTTTAATTATTTTTAAAATATTTATTTGAAAGACAAAGTGACAGGGAAAGAGATCTAGACAGAGAGAGGTATTTCAGCTGCTGTTTGACTCTCAAATAGCTACAACAACCAGGCCAAAGCCAGGAACCAGGAACTCCATCCTATTCTCCTACCTTGGTAGCAGGAGCCCCAGCACTATATGCTGCTTTCCCAGGCACATTAGCAGGACCTGGATTGGAAGCAGAGCAGCTGAGACTTAACTGGGCCCTGGGATATGAGATGCCATTCGTAGCCTAACCCACTGAACAACATTGCCAATCTCAGCTACAGTCTTCAATGGGTAGGAAGGGATGGATTGAATAACTCCAAATGGTCTTGGGCAAGTCAGCTCCAAAGATAGCATGTGTTGACCAGGATGAGGCAGTGAGACATGGGAGTAAAAGCAAACAAACCATAGCATGACATTTTCTAAGGGAACTGGGGCCCTTGGCTTACTGGAATACTACAGTGTACTGTTAACCACAACACAGCAAATTTCATCTGAAAGGGCATCTGATTTCCATTCCAAACAGGAATAATTGGATTTATAGAAGTGGTCAGAGTATGGCCTCTCTGAGAGGAGAACTCTGAGGTCTTGGCCTAGAAAAAGACTTGAGACCAAAAGAAAATGATGCATGTGGAAATGACACATAGATTCTGTGAATATCAACAGAGAACCTTGTTCAGAACAGAGCGGCAAAGTAGGTGGAGGAGACATATCCAGGAATGTCCCTGCATCCAGATCATGGAAAGTCCTCCTACAAATCTGTAAGAACAAGACAGCTGAAAGGAAAATGCAGCCTAAAATATACCTCAAGAAAAAAGTTGAACATGCGCAAAGATGTTGGACTTTCTTAGTCATCAAGAAACACAATTAAAAAACTAGCTGGGGCCCGTGCCATGGCTCAACAGGATAATCCTCCACCTGTGGTGCTGGCACACTGGGTTCTAGTCCCAATCGGGATGCCGGATTCTGCCCCAGTTGCTCCTCTTCCTGTCCAGATCTCTCTTGTGGCCCAGGAGTGCAGTGGAGGATGGCCCAATTGCTTGGGCCCTGCACCCACATGGCAGACCAGGAGAAGCACTGGCTCCTGGGTTCAGACCAGTGTGGTGCTCAGGCCGCAGCTTGCCTGCCGCAGCGACCATTGAGGGGTGAACCAATGGGAAAAAAGAAGACCGTTCTCTCTCTGTCTCTCTCACTGTCCACTCTGCCTGTCAAAAAAAAAAAAAAAAAACTCGCTGGAACCATTACAGATCAATAAGAAAATGAAGAACACTGGGGATAATTAACTTTTGGTAGTACGTGGACAAGCTAAGAAGCTCACACATGGCTGGTGAGTGTGATACTTGGGGAAAAATGAAAAAATATATATTTTTGGAAATTCTCTTATTGGCTCTAATAAAGTGCAACATATTTCAATTTATGGTATATGAATTCCAATGCTATGTATGCATTCAAAAGATACTTGAATATGTTTGCCATCATAAGCAAATATTCACAGGTGCATTTCCATGTGAGCAATGATCCTGCTAGCCTCACCCTGAAAGCTACTGACATGAACATCTACACAGCAATGATGAATTTGTTGTTTGGTATTCACACAGTGGAATCTCTACAGCAATGTTACTCTTAGCCAGTGCCATGGCTCACTAGGCTGATCCTCCACCTTGTGGCACCAGCACACCGGGTTCTAGTCCCGGTCGGGGTGCCGCATTCTGTCCCGGTTGCCCCTCTTCCAGGGCAGTTTTCTGCTGTGGCCAGGGAGTGCAGTGGAGGATGGCCCAAGTGCTTGGGCCCTGCACCCAATGGGAGACCAGGAGAAGCACCTGGCTCCTGCCATCAGATCAGCGCGGTGTGCCGGCCACAGCATGCCAGCTGTGGCGGCCATTGGAGGGTGAACCAACGGCAAAAGGAAGACCTTTCTCTCTGTCTCTCTCTCTCACTGTCCACTCTGCCAGTCAAAAAAAATGTTAATGTTTAACCCACGACAACATGCAGCACTACTGACAAATTCCCAGGTGACACAGAAATGAAAAATGCCTTAAAAAGAGTGCAAGCTGTATTGTATCATTTGTATAAAGTAAAAAGAAAACAACCCAATGTACAGAATATCATCCATGCTCTTAGAGATCAGAAAAACGTGGCAACATGGGGCTGTGGGAGTTGAGAGAGGCCAACTCTAGTCTGTGTTTTGTCACGTGTTGTGACTGGAGATGAGCACAATCTGTGACTTATCACTGAGCTGAACATTTGTGACCCACCCACGCATGTGGAAGTAAAATAATTTCAGTACATATCAAAAGTAAAAAATCAGTGAATCCAATCTAAAATGTATGCATTTTGATACTAAACAAAATAGAACTAATTAATCTTGTTGAAATTAGACCAAATTTATTATATTTAATTGCACATTTTTTCAAAAGGTATGTGAAGCACAAAAGTCATACAGAAAACAGAAAAAAATTCTATATAATTTTTAAAGACTCATTTACTTCTCTGAGAGGCAGAGTTATGGATAGAGAGAAGGAGAGACAGAGAGGGCTTCCATCTGCTCATTTACTCCCCAAATGACCACAATGGCTGGTGTGGGGCTGAACCAGATCCAGGAGCCAGGAGCTTTTTGTGGGTCTCCCATGTGGGTGCAGGGGCCCAAGCACCTGGGCCATCTTCTGCTGATTTCCCAGGCCATGGTAGAAAGCTGGATCAGAAGAGGATCAGCCAAGACTTGAACCCGTGCCCATATGGGATGCTGTCTCTGCAGGTAGAGGCTTAACCTACTATGCTACAGCATCAGCCTCATTCTATGTAATTTTAAAAGTAATAATACATGATGACCAAGGAAAGGGGTAAAATACAGAGTTATTGCTAGAACATTGAAGCAGATGAAGTTAAGAAGAAAGGAAAAATAGCACATGTACAATGAAGAATGTATTATAAGTTGAGAATTCTAATTTCATATGTTTCCATATATATATGTAAAAATTTATTTATTTGAAAGGCAGAGTGACAGAGAGGCAGAGGCAGAGAGAGAGAGAGAGAGAGAGAGAAAGGTCTTCCAACCACTGGTTCACTCCCCAGGTGGCCACAAGCCTACAGCTGGGCCAATCTGAAGCAAGGAGTCAGGAGCTTCTTCCAGGTCTCCAATGTGGGTGCAGGAGCCCAAAGTCTAAGGCCATCTTCTACTGTTTCCCAGGCCATAGCAGAGTGCTGGATCAGAAGTGGAGCTGCTGGGACTTGAACTGGCACCCATATAGTATGCTGGTACCACAAGCTGCAGGTTTATCCAGTAAGCCACAGCGCAAACTCTGAACACTTTTATATTAACCATAAAAACTTAATTACAACATACAAAAATAAACTTTTTATCATATTCAATTTATTTTCTTTTCCATATATATATATATATATATATATATATATATAAAATGTAAGGGTAAAATTGAAAAATGAGTTTCACTAATTAAACTTTTAGCATGGTGATATCAGATAAAATAGAATTTAATATTAAAGCATATTTAAAATGCCACTCCTAGATTATAATTCCAAAAGAAATGAAATTAACATGGTAAAGAGATATGTGCACTCCCATATTTATGTTAGTACTATTCACAATAGTCAAGAAATGTAATCAGTTTAAGTATCTATCAACTGATGAACAGACAAAGGAAATGTGGTTATCTACACAGTGGGGTGCTCTTCTGCCATGAAAATGGATGAGATGCTGTCATTTGTGACATCATTATGTTAAGTGCCAAAACTGAGGCACAGAAAACCAACTTCTGTCTGTTCTTAGACATCTGTGGAATTTGTAAATGCCCAATTGGCAACTGTACCCAACAAAAACCTACAGATCCCACCTCCATGAAATTCAGACTGCATGAATTTTGTGCATATTCAACATTCACTTGATACTTTCAATCATCATCAAAGCATACTTCTGTGCTCTCCTTTTATCCCATTTTCAGTCAACCTGACCATTTCTGCATGAGTGTGTCTTAAATAAACCCCCCTCACATAGTCAGATATTAAATGACAAGCATTCTTCTAGGGAGATAAAATACAAAGCCCCTACTTGGGACTTCTATGCCTTTACTCTCTGGAGATGAGCTTTGCTCTCTGATTTTTTTAAGTAATTAAAAATATAATTGTTTAAGTCTCAGCACTAGAATCTGCCACCTCTCCAGGAACTCCTGGTTCTATTTAACAAGGGGGTAGTGGCAATAGGACTGGGGAAGCACCCACGGGCCTCGAACCACCGAATTGGTGATTAGGCTGATTTAGTAGATGAAGAAACTGCTGAGCTAAAGCCAGCCCAGAAGCTGCTCCCAGATCACAGGGCTTTGACTTGATAGAGAGACACGCATCACAAACAACAAGAGGCAGACGTCACAGTGCCCTCTGATTTAACTCCAGACTCTTCACTGTCTTTTCAGAGTTTTCTTCTGCTTTTGAAGTAAATGTCTCTAGTGGTGTTTCTGTTTCATGGAACATTTTGTACAATTCCACAACTAGTTAATATGTGGAAAATGTATCATGTTAAGTCCAAAGTCAACATGCTCAATGACCTTGCCATAATCTCCAATTTCAGAATCCACTGCTCCGACACTACATACACTCCAAACTGCATCACTGATGATATTAAGAAATTTTTATTACATGACTATAAGTAAGATGATTATGAAATATTTCATTTGCAATTGTTCGGTTTGTTATGTAAAGCACAAGCAGTCGTTTTTATGTGCAAGTCTCAGAAATGCATTTAATCCATGGGGAAGAGCAGTGACTAGACAAACAGTGAATATACATGCAATTTACATACCTATAGTAAGTTTGGAGCATTTTGTATCCCTTATCCAACCAAAGCAGAGCCAGGATATTCTGGCGTCATAGCTCATGAGAATGTAGGGGCTCACAGTGGGGAAACTTCCAGCAATTAGTGCAGAGGTGTTCAGGAGCCACACACTGGGATTTCTTAAGACAGCAGAACAAACATGAAAGATGAAAGAGAGGGTGCACAAAGACGTAAAAATGCTCACCAGGATGAGGATGCTTTGCATAGCTCTGGACTCAGGAGAGGAACTGGGGGTCAAATTATTCCTGTGGATGTACTGGACTTGCTGCTTGTGCCTGTACAGGGTGGAAAGCATGGAGCAGCTGGCTCCAAGCATGAGCACCAAATGAAGAGCATCACGGAAGAACACCAGTGCTACGTATAGGGAGTTTGCGGTTTTCTCCTTAGGTCCAGTAGAACAATAGACATAATTGGTTTTTTTGGTGTGGTTTTTGCCACTCCTGTTGCTAGTCATATACACAGGTACTACAACATTTAGTGCCATGTTCAGGATCCAGCAGAGAATAGTGGAGGGGCCAACATACTTGGGAGATTTTACTTTAAGCTCCATCCACCTGGAGTGTCTAGGACTGATGGTGATGGCCTGGAAGACACTCAGGAGGCAGGTGCTTCCAATGGACACATCCCTGCTCACTCTGTGCACATAGAACACAAGCTTGCACCCGATATCATCTAGGAAATTCTTCATCCCCAAAGCTGTCATGGTTTGGGGGACTCCTCTAGAGAGAATGACCAACACATTGGCAACAGAGAGGTGCTTGATAAACAAATCTGTGGACCTACACTTGCATCCTGTGAAGTAAAGGATGAGATAATGGAGAAGAAGAGAGACATTCCCCAGAACTCCGACTACAGTCTGTAATGAGAAGATTATTCCTACTGCCAATCCTGGATGGCCATTCTGTTCCCAGTGACTGCTATTTGACTTCAGGGTAAGGGAGACCTGCATGAGAATATGAGGCATGAGCCAAGTATGACACTTCAATGGAAGGCCGACATTCTCCATTTACACTGGATGTACCTCCTTAATGTATTTGCAAGCACAGGGTTCCAAAAATTTTTTTTTTTTTTGACAGGCAGAGTGGACAGAGAGAGAGAGACAGAGAGAGAAAGGTCTTCCTTTTGCCGTTGGTTCACCCTCCAATGGCCGCCGCTGCAGCCGGCGCACCGCGCTGATCCTGGCAGGAGCCAGGAGCCAGGTGCTTTTCCTGGTCCCATGGGGTGCAGGGCCCAAGCACTGGGCCATCCTCCACTGCACTCCTGGCCATAGCAGAGAGCTGGCCTGGAAGGGGGAACGGGACAGAATCCGGCGCCCCGACCGGGACTAGAACCCGGTGTGCCGGCGCCGCAAGGTGGAGGATTAGCCTATTGAGCCACGGCGCCGGCCCAAAATTTGAATATATAACATTAATGGCACTTACAAAACTGAATCTAAGTCACAAAGACTGCACATCCCACATTGCTCATAACTCAATGAGACAGGAAATATCATGATTTCTATTAGAATGAAAAGGAGCACACAGACAGCTAACAGTTACTGAGCTTTTTTATTTTTTACACTGAGTCCTTTTTTCAGATTTATTTTTATTTATTTGGAAGGTAGAAAGAGAGAGACATGGAGAAATAGAGAGCAATCTTCTACCCACTGTTTCACTCCCCAGGTGGCTGCAATGGTCAGGGCTGGGCCAGCAGATACAGTAGCAGGGAGCTGGATCAGCAGTAGAGCAGCTAGGACTCAAACTGGCATTCCAGTATGGGATCAATATGGGATGCCAGCGTTGCAGTCAGCAGCTTAACCCACTGCACCACCAAGCCAGCCCCAGACATACTGCAAACTTTGTGCAGGCCAAGTAGGGACCTGGCTCAGCTGCCTGGTGATAAGGCAATGCATTTCAACAATATGCTGATGTAACATAATTTACTAGCTGTGCTTTTCAGATAACACTGATGTGTATATAGTTGTTTTCAGTATTTTGTTTTATTTCACACTAGTGGTATTATAATTAAATGTTACAATTTTCTTTGTAAAAGTTTCCATTTATCTATAAAGATTTATTGCATTGGCCAATACCCATCATGAATATAGGCTTTAGTTTTTAAATAGAATCCAGATGTTCTGAACATAGCATAATTCTATTAGGATTTGCTCCATACAGATTGTAAAGAAAGAATACACAATTAGGGACTGGCATTGTGGCACAGTGGGTTAAGCTGCCTCTTGTGACCCTGGCATCCCATAGCAGAGTGCCGTTAGAGCCCAGCTACTCCTGTTCCAATCCAGCCTCTGTTAATGCACCTGGAAGGCAGCAGAAGATGCCTCTCACTTGGGTCCCTCGCCACATGTGGTGGAGACCTGGAAGGGGATCCTGGCTCCTGGTTTCAGCGTGGCCCGTTTTCTTGGCTGTTGCAGGCATTGAGGAGTGAACCAGCAGCTGCAAAAATCTCTCTCTCTTTCTCTCCCTCTCCTCTGTCCCTCTTTCTGCCCCCTCAATAGATTTCAAAGAAAAAATTAAAAAGGAAGGTAATGTTATAAGAATTTAACATCAGATGGCATAAATTATCTATTACTATGTTTCTCAGTGAAAAAATAATCTCATCTTAATCCTAAGATCATTTATTCATAAATTCAATACAACCTTTTTGAGGCTCCATTCTATGTATTCTGTGTTTCAAAGATTTTTCAAAAATCACAACTGATTGCTCATATTTTGCTTAAATTATGTAATAATAAATTACAACTTGAGACTAGTGACATAATTTTCCCCACATCCTTTGTCACCATTATTGCGTGTCGACTTGTCATATTACTGGGGGGGGGGGAGAAAGGGAGGGTGAGACCCTCCCTTACACTGGATCACTCTCCAAATGGGCAATGGCGGTGGGGACTAGACCAGAGTGAAGCCAGGAGGGGAATCGATCCAGATCCAGGTCTCTTCTGTGGGTGGCTGTGACCCAAACACTTAACCATTGCCTGCTATCACCCCAGAGCTGCACTGGAGGGCAGACAAGAAACAGGAGCAGGGATCTGATGTGGGATGCGGGCATCTTAACCACATGGCTGAACACCTGCCAGCCAAGGTGCTTCTTGACAGGGAGGATGGATAACAGGTCCCTGTTGTGTCAGCAGACATGGATATCCAGGAGGAAGGACTGTCCAATTAAGTGTCCTGTAACCAGAGTTGGAGGTAGCATTTCTATTTCAGCAGCTGCTGTTCAGGTCTTCATATCAACACTCATGATTCCTGGGCTGTACCCAGCCTATTAGAAACACGGAAGTGCAATGAGCCTACCTGTGCCTATGGAAGACTTAATCT